CAGTAACTGGCTCCACCATCCAACTATTCAGTTGTATAAGCCAAACCTACCAATTAGCTTAAGAGTTTTCCCTCTTCCTTTACCCACCAAGTCCATTGGTTCTACCTCTAAAATAAATCTCAAATCTAGTCACTCCAACTCCACTCCCACTGCCCTAGCTCTATTTCCATCCTGTCCCCTTCCAATCTATTTTTGCTTAGCAGCAAGAATATTTAAAAATGCACTACATCAAAAATACAGCATAGGGACTACAGATCCTCTATTATTAAACCCTAGTATTCAAATCAACCAAATGATAGAAAGATGGGTAGAATGACCCGGTAGCTGTGCTAAGCACTGATCACCAGGGGACAGGTCCTGCATTGAGCATCTGCCTCCTGGTGGTCAGTGTGCTCCCACAGGGGTGCACTGCTCAGCCAGAAGCTGGGCTCATGAATGGCAAGTGCAGTGGTGGTGGCAGCAGGATTGGGCGGTAAGGAACGAGGGATACTTGACTGCAAGAGGGTGCAGGCCAGGCTGAGGGATCTCACCGGTGCACGATCGGTGCCTTGGAGGGACTGTGGGAGGACTCCAGGGATGTTCGGCCAGTCTCGTCCAGCCCTGATCAGCCAGACCCCAGCAGCAAGCTAACCTACTGGTCAGAGCATCTGTCCCCTGGTGGTTGTACAAATGGTCTGACACTTGGCATATTAGGCTTTTATTATATAGGATGTTACCCTAGAGTATAAGAAAAATATATATCCTGCTTCTTCCTTTTCTCTCAGCTCACTTACTTACTAACAAGACCAAAAGCCCTAAGGAGGGCAGGGATTGTTCTGTATGGTTCACAGCTATAACCCAGGTGCCAGGCATGGCAGGCATTCATAAATATTTGTTCAATAAATACAACCCATTCAGTCTTGATAGAGATCTTTTCTCACATGTCCCCTCTCTCTAATATCTCCAATCTCTCTCCACTAGCCCCTTCTCATTTTCACACATTTATAAGCCTCCCCATTTAGAACACAACTCACTTGATACTGCTGTCTTTTCAAATGTCCTGGTTCTCCAATTCCTTTGAATAAGTGGCTGACTTTTACTAGCCTCATTTAGTACCATTCAGTCCTCTTCAGCCCTTTGCAATTTGGTATCAGTTCCATCAACTAGAGAGATAAGTGAATCACAGTTAAGGAGGCCTCCTTCTAAGCCAAATGCTATCATCCTTTCCCAGGCCCTGCCTTCTCAATGTCCTATTTTGGACAATGCTGATAACTACTTTCTCTCACTAAATAAAAGATGCCACTTCTGTTTTCAAGGGGCTGAAAATGCTGTGGGCAAATTCAAGGGATTGACTCTGTCACTCTTTTCTCCACACTCATTTCCTTTAAGAGTTTTTCTTTTTCTCTTAATATAAATTATCAACTCTTGTTGATGAGGCTAAATAAATCACAAGTGAGTTGATTTCATTTTAAATACAGAATCTCAAGCCTTGAATTAGCATTTCGAACAGTCCAGAGGCAGAAAAGCCTAACATCACTGATGGCTTTATGAATTGTGTTGGTATGCTCTCAGTATTCTTTAAAACAATTAAAAAAATTTTCTTTAATAATTTTTTTTCAATTACAGTTGATGTACAACCTAAGTTTTTTTGTTTGTTTTTAAATATATTTTATTGATGTTTTACAGAGAGGAAGAGAGAGGATAGTTAGAAACATCGATGAGAGAGAATCATCAATCAGCTACCTCTTGCACATCCCCTACTGGGGATGTGCCCGCAACCAAAGTACATGCCCTTGACCAGAATCGAACCCGGGACCTTTCAGCCCGCAGGCCGACGCTCTATCCACTGAGCCGAACCTGTTTCGGCTAACCTAAGTTTTTTTTTCAATTACAGTTTACATTCAATATTGTTTGTATTAGTTTTAGGTGTACAGTATAGTGGTCATGTACTTCACAAAGTGTTCCCTCTGATATTTCCAGTACTCACCTGGCACCATTGCTCTCTGCATTCTCATCTCTGACTTTTGAATCTGATTGTTTTAGCTCTGACTTTGTTTTGGAGCCTGGCCTCAGACCGCTATTTACATTTTCCTTTTGTTACTGAAATGATTATGTCATATTATTGTCTAGCAGTTTTAGTGCTGTTTTTAATGTCTTAAGTTTAGACACCTACTAAAGTCCTAAGTCTTTCAGTTCAGAACTAACTCTTCAACCCGGCACTCTTCCATTGGCACTCTAAGTACTGCAAATTCTCTCTTGACCATTAAATAAATTTATTTATTTATTTATTTATTTATTTATTTATTTATTTATTTATTTACTGATCTGATCTGATCTGATAGAGAGGGAGAGGAAGGGAGAGGGATGTCAGAGGTGGGAGGGAGGGAAACATCAATCTGTTGTTTCACTTATTTATGCATTCATTGGTTGATCCTTGTATGTACCCTGACCAGGGATCAAACTCGCAATGTTGGTGTATTGGCATGACGCTCAGCCAGCTCAACTACCCGGCTAGGGCCTTTTTTTTTTTTTTTTTTTTTTTTAATGTACCTCCCCAGGGCCACCATGTTGCACAACTCTAAGCACAATCATCATTCACGTTGTACTCTGCTAATGGCTTCCCATACTGGAACATACTAAGATTTACGTTTTACATTCTTTTATCTCAATTCACTGCTGCCATTCTTTCTCTACAGTTGTGATTTCTAAATGCCCACTGTTGTCAGGGCCCCACCCCGATTTTTAAAACCAGGCCTGGCCAGAAATTAGAGATGTAATAGCTCTAGGACTTAGTACCAATTTACTACTATAATTAGTCCAGTGTTATCGCTTTGTTCTTCCGTTCTACTAAATGAGCTTATTTCCAAGACCGGGGTGCTAGCTCTGGTTGGTACCTTGCTTACTGACATGCCTGCCAAATGCCATGTACCTGGAATACTATTGACATGCTGGACTAGACCTACAGCTGGTTCTGTCAAATCTAGTGCCAGCTGCATCTCAACAAAAAGGTCTTCCCCAGTTATGCTGTCCACCATGCTACCAAAAGCTATATCAAAATGAAAGGATATTAAGCCTATTTTATTTATTCATTTATAAAGTATATTTTTATTGATTTTAGAGAGGAAGGGAGAGGGAGAGAGAGATAGAAACATCAATGATGAGAATCACTGATCAGCTGCCTCCTGCACGACCCACACTGGGGATAGAGCCCACAATCTGGGCATGTGCCTGATTGGGAATCAAACTGTGATCTCCTGGTTCATAAGTTGATACTAAACCAGAGCCAGGCTGGTTGGGTTATTTAGCCTATTTTAAAACATGATACCCCAATCAGAAAAACAGTATTTAAATGTTTTCTGATAGTGAATATCAACTCTCTTGTTAAAGCTACTATACTTAATAAAAGTGATTTAGTCACCTTGACTATAAAATCATCAAATTTCTAAAACATGACTTTCTAAACATCTTTACCATACTGGGTACTTTATCTTCTATTGGTTGACACAAAATATATGCTGGCCCTACAATATGAACTGCTCTGAATCATAACAAAGCAAAATTTGGTAAAAAGAAACAACAAAAAGAATTATATCAAATATGATCCCTAGCAACTATAACAACAAATTATTGCAAAAGTGACTGATATAGTGGATTACCTGCCCAAGTTATTTGTTCACATGCCAAGAAGCAACTTCTTTACCATAAAAGTGTTTCCACATTTTCTTTACTCTAGAGAGAAATCTCAGGCACATTTACTCATCAATTCATCACCTCATCAAATTCTGCAAAAAGAAAAATCTACAAAGTATATGTGAATTTACAACTATAAAAACAAACAAACAATGAAGGACCCTTATTTTGTTCTTGGAAAACTTTATTTCGGTATAAACAAAAAAGGCAAATGTTACTTATATCATCCAGGGATAAGTCTGGCCATTCTTCTTAGCTGCAAACTGGCAGACTAAGTGAGAGATGTGATCTAGGTAAAAGACACTTATTAATCCAGATTACATTCAATTCCCAAAAAGATCACGAAAATTAGTCCATAAAGTCAGAACAGATTTACATGAGGTCACATCAGAAAAGCAGAGAAAGTGATGGCTAATGCCTTGGAAATTTTCATTTCCACATTAATACTCAGAATACATTCTTAGAGATTAGGAACAGGTAGTTTATACTACAAGTATTAACAAATGATATGCACTTTCATCAGTTTCATGTGATTAGGATTCAAGATGTTACTTAAAATCTAGATGTAAGCTCAAACACTTAGTCATTGCCCAAAATGGAAAATTTAAATTTCTTTACAGGAAACATAAAAATATGATTATTTGGATCTTGTCTTAATTTACAATTGATAAGTCTAGTTTTAATATTTACCACCCCCCGCCCTGCCAAAAGAAAAAGAACATGTTACACACCTGAAGAGGATTCCAAATAGAATGTCCCCATTAACAATAGCAACTATGAAATCTAATTCAGTCTACAGATTTTATTTCTGATCAAATAATAAACTTCCAGTTAATTCTTTGAGTCTGCCTTCTGTTAACATGTACAATTTGTCAGGTAATCACATCAATGATTTCAAAGCTCTCCTTGCACTGTATTTTCCCCCACCAACTAAGATGTAGCTAGAAATAATAAGACAACTCAAAATAGCTATAGTGGCCTTTAATAGTTTTATTTTACTAATGAGCTGGCCTTATTCCAGTGAAATTATCAAATTATCCAATAGTCTTTTGGTTTCAGAATTACTTATAACAATATAATCATATACAGAAATCTCGATCAATAATCTTTCTAAATAAACTATTTACAAATGCAAAATATGCAATATTGTTTAAAATAAATATACAATATAGAGTTTCTACATTCTCAGGCAGCTTAAAAATGAGGTAATAAAAACTTAACTGATTAAACCTTTTACCATTCTGAAAATGGCTTAGGAAAATGATAATGAAATTTTTTTCCCCTTTAGGTCTTTTCATGGTTTCTTTGAATGCTTCTGAATACTTCCTTTTCTATGCTGAAAAACTGTGTAAAAAATTCTTAAGCTTTGTTGGATAATCTGTCATCACCCCAGTTGCTCCCAAATCAAAAGCTCTTTTGTATTCTTGTTCTTCATTTAATACCCAAATATATACCTGAAAATTAGAAGCATGAGAAGTATGAGAACAAATGTTAACATAGAAAATTATTTTTAAAAGAAAATTATTTTTATAATAGCATTTATCTGCAATTTTAAGAAATAACTGGGCCCTTAGTTTAAAAAATTCCACTTCGCTCATTAAATATGCCCTGACCTACCCCTCTGCCTTTAGCTACTCTTACCTCTACATAAGTAGATTTGTAGTTACTGAAATGCCAATGCTTTCTTGTTCACTGTAAGGCAGAACTTAAGATCTTCATATGTCAACCAGGCAAGCATCATAATCAGAGTTGGGACTAAATTAAGTCAGTTAAAAGTTCCTGCTACATATACTTATGTTAAACTGGTAAACTAGTCTGTTTCCAAAAATCCATCCTTCCAGAAACTTACCTGAATGCCTCGGGCAGTAAGGTGGTCAAACAAAGCTTTTCTCATTAATAAACTAGAAGAGAAAAGCGGAAGAGATTTAGGTAATTCTTAGCCTTAGGAAGGACTAAAATTAGTCCTTAGTTCTAACTTAGTCCTAATTTAGAATTTTAATGGCCTCAAATAATAACCGCTGCTATGGATGCATTTATATCTTAACTGCTGGATCTCTCTTCACTGCTGGCTGGTGAACAACCAGAACCAATTTTCTACTCCTTGCTGCCACTAGATCCTCAAGAGACCCATTCTTATTGGAGCAGCTCACTGGAGTCTGCATTTTTAAGTTTGCAAGTTAAAATAAGATGGCAAACTTGGGTCAAGTTCTATGACATCGTAATTCATGAACAGATTGGATCAGTCATTTGTGAGCTCTCTTAGAAATCTAATGTCCATTAATTACACTATCTATGTATAGAGGGGGGAAAAAAAACACCTTTTTTTAAAGTTCCAAATAACCAACTAAAAGTGAGCTTTTAGAATACAAATCACTTGAGCAAGATGGGAACTATTGTACTGAAAAGCTTTACATCTAATTTCTTTCTTTTTTTAAAAAATATATCTTTATTGGTTTCAGAGAGGAAGGGAGAGGGGAAGAGAGATAGAAACATCAATGATGAGAGGCAATCATTGATTGGCTGCCTCCTGTATGTCCCCTACTGGGGATCAAACCCACAACCCAGGCATGTTTCCCTTGACCAGAATGGGATCCTTCAGTCTATAGGCTGATGCTCTATCCACTGAGCCAAACCAGCTAGGGCTATATCTAATTTCTATTTCATTTATGTTTATTACAATGCTACTAACTAGCTAGGTAGCCTCAAGTAAATAATTTTTTAAAATATATTGATTTTTAACAGAGAGAAAGGGAGAGAGATAGAGAACTAGAAACGTCGATGAGAGAGAAACATCGACCAGCTGCCTCTTGCACACTCCCTACGGGGGATGTGCCCGCAACCAAGGTACATGCCCTTGACCGGAATCGAACCTGGGACCTTTCAGTCTGCAGACCAACGCTCTACCATTGAGCCAAACCAGCTTCAGCTTAAGTAAATAATTTAACTTTGGGTGGGTTGTGTTCAAGTTGAATGATATTATCTCCCTAAATTCCTCCTAAGGCTTTCTGACTAATAATTAAACTAATTCTAAATGACTCATATACATTCATTTGTATAGTTGATACTCAACACATCCTTGTTACAAATTATATGTCAAAAGATCACACTAAATTTGAGCACAGTATTTAATAGATATAGCTAAAACACTAACTTGTATATCAAGAAACGAAAATTCTTACATATCAGAAAGCCAGATGAGAAACTTCTGACTTTTGGACATTTTGTGTGGTTCTTTTAACCTGAGACAAAATAAAATTTGAATAAATTAGAAACACAGTGTGATAAAATAAAACAAGTTCAAAAACAGTAAGTGCCTTATATTTAGAATGTACTAAAAAAAAAAAAAAATTCCTAAAAAGACAAACATAAATTAAAATAAAGCCCATTTGGGTTCTCTATTTTCCACTGATTCCAGGCTTTTTGCAACCACGACTGAAAGATTTAAAAAAAACGTTATCTTTCCAGAGACCCTGAGTGCCTAGGGCTCATGTATCTTCTCATTTTGGTGAAGCCAACTTTCTCTTGCTTCATCTGCTATTATTTAGTATACAGTATACTTAAAACACACAACCAAACTTACTATGGATTAAAAGATATTTGGGATAAAAATGAGACAAAAAAAATCCATATAAAAGCCTGTGTTTTTCTTTTTCTTTCCCTTTCAATATTTGAAGATGTTGGTCCTGTACTTTTTAATCATTTTTGCTATTGAAAGAGGACACGACTTTTAGACCTATGCTGTTCCTTCCTCAGTCTTACTGATGGCCAGAGCAGCACCGCTACCTGTGCTATTAGCTTTGGGTTGTGACCACAGGAAATCTCGGTTAGCCTCTCTTCTATGAAGATTTCTCAGTTTCTTTCTAAGTTTAACAGCACATGGTGATTCTCAATCTCCCCAGATCTTAATTCCTTGTTTTCTTTCTAAAGCCACCTCTCTATACTCTTAGTATAATCTTGAGTCCCCACACTTAAATTCATTTTGTCCTTTCTCTTTGAATTCAGTTTTTATTTAGAAACTCTCTAAATAAAATCCTTTTTTCCCTAACTCTAGCCAAGGTGGAAAGTCCGGGTTGCTATTTCAGGAATCTGAGGGATTTAATACCTCAAATACTAAATTACCTCACTAAATACGAATTATTATGTTGTCTTAGGAAATTCCCATTGTCTCCCATAAAAGAACCCCAAAACATTAAAGCATACAACATGTTTTACCCATGTCTTAATCCATAATCACTCTTTAGAGAAAAGATTAATTCTATGAAGTTTTTTCAGGTCTGTGTTTCAATAATATTAGCTTCTAAAAGGAACACATAGAGACAATCTAGAGAGCTCAAAAGTTCATCTCAGGTCAGAGAAAAGCTAAGTACACTAGGAATAAATGGTTTTAATTTAGCAATGAAAATTATTTCTTAAAAAAAAAGAAAATTATTTCTTTGTAAACAAGTGATTTCTGTTGTCTTATCTGAGAAATAGCCACGAAGACCACTAATAAATATAACTAGGAATAGATAAAAATGCTCATAACTAAGTAACTCAAACTGGTATGAAACATAGATGCTGAATACAAGGGTACTGACCAAATTCCTTTTCTTACCAATATTCTCAAATAGTTAATGACTAATATTCAGCTTGTTGCTGTTTTTTAATAAATATTTCTTATTGATTTCAGGGAGGAAGGGAAAGGGAGAGAGAAAACATCAATGATGAGCGAGAATCATTGATTGGCTGCCTCCTGCATGCCACACACTGGGGATCGAGTCCACAACTGGGCACGTACCCTGACTGGGAAACGAACCTTGACCTCCTGATTCAGAGGCTGATGCTCAACCACTGAGCAATACCAGCCTGGCTTAGCTTGGTTTTTAAAAAAATTCTGTTTGGAGAATGAAAAAAGTTTTCATGCAGGTGAAATCACATTTAAATGATCTCCCAGGAACTCTGAATTCCTTTGTGATGATTTAGTTATTATTATAAATTTATAGCTAGAAATCACATTCTGAGGGTATAGGAGATGAAACTGTCTTTAATAATAATGTTAAAGATAATTTAACAATAAAAGCTATCATTTATTGAGTGTTTATTATTTGTCAGGCACTAACTGTTTTTTGTTTTTTCCTTTGTAGTAAGTTAGTGTGTGAAAAGCAAGGCTTTGTATCCTGTAGAGAAGTTATGCATTCAGAGAAATATCTTATATAAATGAATTCTATCATTTTCTTTCTCCTATCTCCAGAAGTTTCTTTTGGGTTGTTGTGGGGTGGCTGTTTTTCTTCCTAAATATATTAATACTAGTGGTGAATTTCAAGTTTAATGGATTTTCTGCTTTGTATAGTAGTAGGAAGAAGTTAAGTTGGAGGGCAATTGCTACTACCCTGTTTCCCCGAAAATAAGACAGTGTCTTATATTAGTTTTTTCTCCCAAAGTTGCACTAGGTCTTATTTTCAGGGGATGTCTTATCTTTCCATGCACTAGGATTTATTTTCAGAGGATGTCTTATTTTTGGGGAAACACGGTAGATGTTAGAATAAGAGATTAAACTTCAATAATTAAGCTCAATTCTTTTTTTTTTTCTTTTCTTTTTTCCCCCCGAGACACATGCCATTTTATTGGAAACGCTCCTTTTGTTTCTTACAAAATAACACATTTGGGGTATGCTGTCAATGCAGTAGCAAGTACACAGGTAGGCGGGCCATCAGCCCTGGCTGTCATTTAAGGACAATGAAGGAGGCAAAACAAATGTGCTACCAAGAAGAGAAGGCGACAGGGCTAAGTGATAACCAGACTGTGAGGCCTCAGGGAAGGTGCTAAGAACAAGCTCAATTCTTTTTATCTGACTTCTGAATACATAGGCACAGAAAGTCATTGTTATGTGAAATGGGCCCAGATTAAATACTTATAATCCTTTGCTAGTATTATTCGTTTTAGAGAATGTCTTAAGGCAAAAAGCACTGTTAATATAGATCAGCTAATAAAACACGGACATAACTATAGCAGTCTATTCTTTATCATTAATATTGATATTAATGAGCTTTATCTTAGTCCTCGTGTAATTGATAATTGATGAAAACAGGTAAACACTTACTTCAATATGATAGAAGGCATTGGGATTTCAAAAAACTGTTCTCGAATTGGCACAAAGGGCAAGAGACCAGTGAAGAACAGGCCAAGAATGAGCAGAACACGTTGTACACTGAAGAGAATGGGAATATCTGAATTCTAAAAGACACAAACAATATTATGTTACTTTGCAACTGCTCAAAGAGAGGACTATTTCATAATACTCAAAATTTCCCAAGGCTCTTATCTTTTTTTGGGGGGGTCAATCCTCACCAGAGGGTACTTTTTCCATTAATTTTGTAAGTTTTTAAGTTCTAAAATGACAGGAAACTAAAAACAAAACCAAGTACCTACCTATCTACCTAAATAAAATGATAGAAAGCCAGAGGCTTCTAGAAAACAAATATGAATCAAAAGAAAAGTTTTGTGATTCTGAGCCAAAAGTGGACTTTTTATTCTGAAATAATTATAGGTTCACAGGAGGTTGTAAAAACATAATAGAGTCTGTTTTTTTGTTTGTTTGTTTGTTTTTGGAATTTCAACATGTTTATATAGATCGTTTTTTAAAAAGAACAAAGCAGCAATCTGAGTAAGACGCTGTGGACTATTCAAAGAATTCTCTTTCCAAAGACTAGGAATAGTGAAGGTATTTTCAAAACGGATTTTTTTCAGGTGAAGCTCCAAAATTCCAGATGGAAAAGATGTCAGGTCATTCCCATCAACAACCAATTTTTTAAGTGATGTGAGTTTCTGGATTTCATTTGGAATAGAATCAATACTATTGTAGGAAACATCAAGTTCCTCAAGGTGGTTCAAAGAAAATAACCTTAGGCTTTTACAACTCCTCCGCTCTTCCTTCTGGTTTTCTCCTTGCTTCTCATTGTAGAATTCCCAGTCAGTCGACTTTCCTGTAGTTCTGGGTAATGTCCATTTTATATTTTAGTTGTATTTTATTGAAATTGTTGTGTGCGGCTGTGGCTAGGTGTTTACCTGTGCAGCCATCTTAGATTCTCTCTCTCTTTCTTGCCTAAAAACATAATAGAGTCTTATATACCCTTAACTTAGTAGCCCAGAATGGTAACAATCCTATAAACCAGTCCAATTTTTTTGAACTTTAATTGCAAGGTCCATTATCTTTAAGAAATCCATTATCTCTATTATTAGCAAACTGGTTAGTTGCTTTCACCCAGTACCATTGGTCTTCATATTAAAAAAATATCACTATAACTTACCATTTATACATAACAATAACAAAGGTCATTCTGAATCATTTTTGAAAGAATTACCTCTTTGTAGCACTTTCCTACAATTTCATAATTGGCATTACCCCATACTGTTATGTGTTCTCGTCTGTACTGTTTCACCAACTCTGAAACCTATAAGTGAAAATTCATATTTTTATAGATGTGCCTACTGTAAATCCACTTACATTATTTCATTTTAAAAAATGGGTTATAACTGACTATTTGCCAGTAAATAGTACAAAATCTTGAAAGAACCAATGTATAAATTAAGATTATTTTATAAAATATAAGAAATTAGTTACATTTTACCATCATATCATTTATCTAATAGAATACAACTACTTAATCATTTGACATGCACTAACTAAAAATGAAATAAGTGAAACTAGAAGTTAATCATACAAATGCCAGAACTATTAGCTCACAGGAGCTCACTTTTATCCACGACTGAGACATGACAACTCTGAAAACAGGCTTCCCGACAGTAAAGTGATCTCTTTTACCAGGGCATTATTTAAAACAACACAGAGCATCACATTTCCTTGCACATTATCAGTCTATGCAGCCATCTACTCTAGCCTTATTAGTTTGTGAAATTAGATGCATGCAACACATTCAGAGGAGGCAATGCCTGAATTACCTTTTTAATCAGCACACTGTTGTTGACTTTGATATCGATGTTAATGGGAGTGTTAGGAAAGGCCTCAAAAACTTCCTTCAGTAACGGAATCCGGTTATCTTTTCCTTCACATTGGCATGCTGAGAAAGAAGGTTTTTAAAAGATAACTTATTTTTTTGATGATTAGAAGAGATAAAGTAGTAGCCATAATAGGACATTTACAAAATGATGAAAAGCATAAAAAAAAGAAAAATCATATAAATGCAACAATTTAGATATAACCATTGTGACCATTTGGTATACTTTCTCTATTCTTTTTTCCCTCTATGCATAATTTAATAGTTACAGTATACCAACATATTTAACCTGATCTTTTTATATAAATAAAAAATAAGTATTGCATGTTATTACACCATATTTATAATTGTTTAAAGTTTTTTTCATTAAACTTAAAAAATTTTTTAATCGATTTCAGGGAGGAAGGAGAAGAGAGAGAGGGAGAGAGAGAGAGAGAGAGAAACATCAATGATGAGAGAGAATCATTGAAAGACTGCCTCCTGCACCGCCCCCCTCCCCCAAATGGGAATGGAACCTGCAACCTGAGCATGTGTCCTTGACCAGAATTGAATCCGGGACCCTTCAGTCTGTAGGCTGACACTCTATCCACTGAGCCAAACCAGCTAGGGCTCATTAAACTTTTTGAGATTAACTGGATTTACATAAAATTGTAAGAGATAATATCTATTCACCCTTTACCAATGGTGACCTTGTAAAACTGTAATACAGTATCATAACCATGATACTGACATTGATATAATCCACCGATCTAATTCTATAAATATTATTTTTGGTTAATCCTCACCTGAGAGTATTTTTTCATTAATTTTTTTTTTTTTTTAGAGAGAGTGTTGGGGGGGGGGGGTGCGGAGAAACAATGATGGAAGAACACAGACATGCTGATTGGTTGCCTCCTACATGTGCCCACACTGGGACAGGGATGAAACCTGGAACCCAGGTAACATGCCCTTGACTGGGAATCGAACCCATGACCCTTGAGTGTGTGGGGCAATGCTCTAATCCCCGACTCACACCAGCCAGGACTACAATTATTATTTTAAAGTTTTAAAAATATTCCATTTTCCATAGCCATATATCAATTATATTACTTTTGTTTATCCATTTCCCTTGAAAGGTAGCAGTGTCTGCCACTCCAAAATATGCAGCTTTGGTATAAGGATTGTTTCTAATTGAAGACAATGGAGAAGCAGATACAAGAAAGGTTCTCTGCCCTTTCCCTTTTTGCTTTAAAACAAGACTTATATTTGTACAAAAATTAATCACCCACAACCATAGTCCCTTATCAGCACCAGAGGATTGTATATAACAAACTGACTAGTCTTTATCTTCCATTATTCTCCCACATCTTGCATTCTTAAAATTTGTCACCCTAAAAATTCAAAGTCCTTTTCCTTTATCTTGTCACTTCTCTGAAAAAATATTGTTTTGTTAAAATGCTATATAAACTCAGGTTCTAACCATCTCTGAGTCTCTCCCATGAGACATACATATTAATAAACTTCTGCTTGTTTTTCTCATATTTCTCATATTAATCTCTTTTGTTACAGAGTCTCAGCTGAGAATCTAGAAAGGTAGAAACTATAGCCTATCAGTGGTTACTGAAATTATTTCTAAAGTTTTGCTCTGTTATCATCATTGAATTTTTCAGATATTGAGAATATTATGTTCACGCAAGAGTAATACACACTACTTCAGTAATGAGTTGAGTGCAACTCAATTCAAAGAAAATTGAGTCATGAAAAAATTAAGAGAATTTCAATCATCCTTTATATTTCTTTGTATTTCCGGAGGTTTATTTTCTCCAGATGGAGAAGCAATATGGTGTAGCTAAATACCGGCCTGGTGAGGAGAAAACCTAGATGAAGTCCTAGCTTTGTCACTTACTGACTGTGTGAACTTATCTATAACAGGAAGAGACAGATAGTCTCAAAGGTCTCTTCACATCCTAAAGTTTTATAACTTTATGAGGGAGGAATAAAAACCAGAAAAAAATTAAAACTTTTTTTTCCTCTCAAATGATCTTTTCATTTTTATGAGGCTTTGGTTTTGCTTTACAAAGGGAAAAACTTCACTTCTGAAATTTTCTTTTACTTAAAAAATTATATTTTATTATCTTATTTTAAAAATCTTTATTGTTGAAAGTATTACATATGTCCCCTTTTGCACCAAATTGACCCCTTCTAGCTCGTCGCTACTCCCCACCCATGAAATTCTCTTAACTTTCCCAAGTTCACAATCTACACAACTATGAGAAAAGGTTGGTAAGTATAATCCTATTAATTACAAGAATGAAAAAGGTATTTCCTGAAACCAAGACAGCTTAATGATACTTACCTGGAAGGCAAAAAACAACAAACATCAGATCTAAGTATCACTCAGAGTTAGCTAATTTAAACGGTTTTCTAATTTTTATTTGCCTTTCTAAAATGTCCCACAGACAAGGACAGATCCTGAGCTGAGAACAGACTCACCCATGACAAGGTTTGGGGAGGTGAGAAGTAGAGTAGAAAAGGGAGTGGTCAGAGGATTTTGTGAAGGATGTGGCGTTTAGGCTAAGCTTAGTAGGATAATAGAATTTCTTCAGACCAAGGGAAGTGGATTCCAGGCTCAAGGAACAGCCAGTATGAGCTACTAAACTCAATTGTGAAAATACATAGTAAGCTTTACTCTCTCACGAGTGAACTGAATGTTGTATTAAAACATGTGGGAAAAATGAAATAAAAATTATATTTCCAAAAAAATTAATACATAAATAAATAAAATTTCCCAAAGAGAAATTTTACTGACCAATTTTAAATGTAGCTCACTGAGAAGTTAAGAATACGTTTTGAAAATTATTATCAATAGATCCTTTGACCAAACTTTTAAGTATATCCAAGCCATACCATGGACCATAACCTATAGCATCTCATAGCGTGACTGAGTTACATTTGAATCATTCAAAGCATGATGCTGAATTGTGCTAGTGCAGGAGACTATACCTGCTCAGCAACCTGTGTCTCAAGGTGTATTTTCCATTCTAGCATAACCAACAATTGAGGCCAAGAAACATGTTTCTTTATAAGATATGCTCTCTCAAAGGAAAGAAAACTGTTATGCTGCTAACTAAAAAGTGAAGATGACTAGGAAATGTATGGTTTTTATTTACTTATTTATATGTATTTTTATAGATTTGAGAGAGGGAGAAGGAGATATAAACATCCTATCTAATAAAGAGGGAATATGCAAATTGATCATCACAAAGATGGCAGTGCCCAGTCCCCTCAGTCCTGCCAGAGTCTTCCAGTCCTTTCAACCATGAGGGGTGGGGGAAGGAGATGAGTGGGGGTGGTGGTGGCAGGTGTGAGCATATCCGTGAGTACTGTGGCCGGACCTGCCCTCAGCCCCCCACCTGCCCAGGGCTGGTCTGAGGCATAGGCAAGCCTCGATGTCAGCTGCCCAACTGCTCAAGGCTCAGGTAACCAGGGCCAGCGAAGGCTTGCGTTGCTGGCAATGGCAGCAGCAGAGGTGTGAGGGGGGGTGTCGCCTTCCCGATTGCTGGGTTGCCTCCCGTCCTTGAGAGCTCCCAGACTGTGAGAGGGGGCAGGCTGGGCTGAGGGATCCTCCCCCCTATCCTCCAGTACATGAATTTTCATGCACTGGACCTCTAGTCAATGATGAGAGAGAATCAGCTGCCTCTTGCACAACTGCCATTAGGGACCAAGCCAGCAATCCAGGCATTAAACCCTGACCTCCTGGTTCACAGATCGATGTTCAACCACTGAACCACACTGACTGGACTGGATGATTTGAGAAACAGAATTCTCTTTAAAATTTAAAATATGGAGCACCTGAATGACATAGAATCAAATGTGAGACAATTAGTAAGGATCTGAAAGGGGTCCCTTCAATTTATTCATTTATTTGATTTATGATTACTATATGTTATAGTAATATTCCAGAACTGGAAGCTTTAGAGGTACAAAGTGTCCCTAATAATATATGTTTCTTGTCAGTAGTATTGGCTCAAATTAACTGTATATAATTTTAGTAGAATGAGCTAATTAAATCTCTGGACATCCTTTTAGGGTCAAGATTTCAGAGTAGGCCCAAGAGAATGCTTTGAGGGCAGTACTTTTAAGCTGAAACTTACTATGACAAGAGAACATGCCTATATGTCTAATTCTCAACATAAGTGAATACACTTTAATGTTAATGTTTAAGTTGCAAATGGGAAATATTACCTTTTTGAAATGTGACATCCAGTTTGCAAAGGTAAGGTGGGAGTTCCTTTAAAAGATTGAAAAGAGTTAGCTCTCAAAAAATCAATATTTTAATGTATTACATTAAGACATAAATATTTGCTTCTTCAAAAACTAAAAGAACAAAGGTATCCTGTAAGGTACCCTGTAGCAGAAAATCTCCAAAAGCAATTTAATCATATAATTATGTGAGAATTCTCTATACTTTCTTGCTCAATTTTGCTGTAAACCTAAAACTGCTCTAAAAACTAAAGTCCACTAAAAACAAAAAATTCAGAAAATGTGTATTATGTCAAAATATTAAAAAAATACAATATATATAACAAACAGCAGGGTCACAACTATATAAAAAAACATACTGGACATTCAATAAGATAGTATCCTATTAACATAAGTTTTCTTTAGGTGGTAAAACAGCATTTTTCCTTCTATTTTTCAGGATTTACTACTAAAACCAGATTTTTAAAGGGTTCTTTCCCATACTGTAAGGGTAAAACTAATTTATATATTTAATCCAAATAAAGCAAATTAAAAAGTATTTCAAGGAATTGAACTCTGTAGTTTTACATTTGAGGACTTTAGAATTTTGTTAAATTACTTACAAAAATAAGACTCTCTATATGTACATAGTGAGTACATCTTTACTGAAACTCAGAATAGTTTTTTAAAATTTCCTTTGACATTCATTATTTAACCACTTCATTTATTTTTTATTATTTTATTATTTATCTGGCATTCACTGTTTTTAAAAATGTTACAGGCCCAAGATATACTTACACAGTATTTGAGATCTGAGATGTTTACATTGACCCCAGTTGATCTCTTTAGATTCTCATCATGTGATACAACAACTTGCTCATCTTTTGTGATATGACAGTCCAGTTCCAGCATATCAGTTCCAATAGTAACTGCACTGAAGAAATACAAAGAATAGTGACATTATCAAACTTAAATTTGGAATTATACATCAAACAGCAAAAAATTAAAAAACCTGTAATATTAAAATTTCTCAACACTGTCACCAATTATGACTAACTGATGTGAAAATATTCTAAAGGAACTCAGAAGAAGAGAAGCATGTTGTCTTTCCATAACTAGCTATCCTAGCTTCTGTCAACCCAATTAGAATGGAAAGAACACTGGGCCAGAAGTTAAGAGATCTAGGTGTCAGTTCCTGCTTTGCTACAAACTTGCTGTATAACATTGGACAAGTAAATGCTCCCTCTGGGCCTACATTTCCACATCTATAAAATGAAAGGAGTGAAAAACAAGGAAAGGATGCCAGCTTTTGACACTTTGATTCAACACAGGATTAGAAATTCTAGCCAAGGCAATTAAGCAAGGATCAAAAAAGAGGGCAGGGGTCTAAATTGGAAAGGGAATCATAAAACAATCCCACTGACAATAGCATAAAAAGAAAAACTTAGAAATTAACTAAGGAGGAAAAAGGCTTATACAAAGAAAACTACAAAACACTGTTGAAAGAAATTAAAGAAGAAATATATAATAGAAAGACATCCCACATTCAAGAATTAGAATATATTTAACATTGTTAAATGCAAATACTACACTGATCTACGGAGTCAATGTAATTCCCATCAAAATCCCAATGATATTTTTGGCAAAAACAGAAAAATCTACCCTAAAATTGACATGCAACCTCAAGGAACCCCAAAGAGTCAAAACAATCTTGGAAAAGAAGAACAAAATTGAAGACTCACACCTCATGACTTCAAAACTTATTACAAAGCTACAGTGTAGGGTAGTGAAAGCCCTGACATTTTTTTCTTATAATGCAAGTGACTGGCTTAAGCTTTGATTGCCAAGGAACCTACTTAAAGACGTTTGCAAAGCATTATGTCTAAAAAACAATGTAGATGCCTTAATTAAAAAATACTTTTATTGCCGAAACCGGTTTGGCTCAATGGATAGAGCGTCGGCTTGGGGACTAAAGGGTCCCGGGTTCGATTCCGGTCAAGGGCATGTACCTTGGTTGCGGGCATATCCCCAGTAGGGGGTGTGCAAGAGGCAGCTGATCGATGACTCTCTCTCATCGATGTTTCTAACTCTCTATCCCTCTCCCTTCCTCTCTGTACAAAAATCAATAAAATATATATATTTTTAAAAAATACTTTTATTTATTTATTTATTTATTTTAAATATATTTTATTGATTTTTTTTACAGAGAGGAAAAGAGAGGAATAGAGAGTTAGAAACATTGATGAGAGAGAAACATCAATGGGCTGCTTCTTGCACACCCCCCACTGGGGTTGTGCCCACAACCAAGGTACATGCCCTTGACCAGAATCAAACCTGAGACCTTTCAGTCTGCAGGCCGACGCTCTATCCACTGAGCCAAACCAGTTTTGGCTAAAAAATACTTTTAAAGATGCTAGCCATCATCTGAACCTTCAGTGAGTCATAATCTCTGGTGGTGAAGGGTCTTGCCTCGATGCTGATGGCTGCTGAGTGATCAGAGTACAGGTGGCTGAAGACGAGTGCTGTGGCAATTTCTTAAAATAAGACAACGAGTTCTGCTACATCAGTTGACTCTTCCTTTCACGAATGATTCCTCTGAAGCATGTGATACTGTTTGATAGCATTTTATCCAGTCAATCCTCTCAAACCCTGCCACTCATTTATCAACTAAGTTTATGTCATATTCTAAATCCTTTGTTATGTCAACTATTTAGTCAGCATCTTTTCCAGGAATAGATTCCACCTCACATTAGACTTGATGCATATCAGAACACTATTATAAGGAACATTCGAAAATATTAAGATAAAAAGTTTAACCATAACCTCACACCCACACTACTTTACATTTTCTCCTCTTTATCCATTTTTTATTTTTGTTAATGCTCATCCAAGGATATTTTTTCCATAGAATTTTAGAGAAATTGGAAGCGAGGGGGGAGAGGGAAAAGGAGAAAGAGGTGGGAAGGAAGGGAGGGAGAGAGGGAGAGAGAGAGAGAGAGGGAGGGAGGTAGAGGGAGGAGAGAGAGAGAGAGAGAGAGACATTTGTGTGAGAGAGACACATTGATTGGTTGCCTCCTGCATGTGCCCAGACCACTGGAGTGGGAACAAACCTGCAACCCAGGTATGTGACCTTGACCAGGAATCGAACCTTTGATCCTCGACTGCATAGGCCCGTGGTCAGCAAACTCATTGGTGAACAGAGCCAAGTATCAACAGTACAACGATTGAAATTTCTTTTTTTTTTTTTTTCTTTTTTTTTTTTTTTATTTTTTTTTTTTAAAAGGCATTGAGTATTTGCACTGCATGCTTTCTGGGAGTCTGAAGGAACCAACACACAGGCACTTCAGTGACTTTTTTTTTTTTTTTTTTTTTTTTTAAATATATTTTATTGACTTTATACAGAGAGGAAGGGAGAGAGATAGAGAGTTAGAAACATCGATGAGAGAGAGTCATCGATCAGCTGCCTCTTGCACACCCCCTACTGGGGATATGCCCGCAACCAAGGTACATGCCCTTGACCGGAATCGAACCTGGGACCCGTCAGTCCCCAAGCCGACGCTCTATCCATTGAGCCAAACCGGTCCCGGCTGAAATTTCTTTTGAGAGCCAAATTTTTTAAACTTAAACTTCTTCTAACGCCAGTTCTTCAAAATAGACTCGCCCAGACCATGGCATTTTGTGGAAGAGCCACACTCAAGGGGCCAAAGAGCCGCATGTGGCTCACAAGCAGCAGTTTCCCGACCACTGGCAAAGGTCAATGCTCCACCACTCAGCCACACTGGCCAGAGCTAATGTTTCTCCCTTTCTTTTTTCACTTTAGACTTTATTAGATTTCATCCCTAGAAACCACTTTCTTTGTTCATCTATTAAAAGCAACTCCTTATACATTAAAGTTTTATCATGAGATTGCAGCAATTCAGTAATGACTTCAAGCTCCACTTCTAATTCTAGTCCCTATGCTATTTCCACACATCTGCAGTTACTTCCTCCACTGAAGTCTTGAAGCTCTCAAAGTCATCCACAAGGGTTAGGATCAACTTCTTCTAAACTCTTATTAATGCTGATATTCTGACCTCTTCCCCTTAATCATAAATGTTCTTATCTTCTAGAATGGTGAATCTTTTCCATAAGGTTTTCAACTTACTTTGCCCAAATCTATCAGGAAAATCACTAAAGCAGTTATAGCCTTACAAAATATACTTCTTAAATAATAAGACTTAAAGTTGAAATTACTCCTTGATCCATAAGCTGCAGAATGGATGTTGCGCTAGCAGGAATGAAAACATTAAATTCAGGTCCGGCCAGCGTAGCTGAATGGTTGAGCTTTGACCTATGAACTAGAGGACAGTGCACATGCTGGGGTTTCGGGCTTGATCCCCAATAGATGATGTGCAGGAGGCAGCCAATCAATAAAATTCTCTCTCTCCCTCCCTTCATCTCTGAAATCAATAAAGATATATCTAAAAAAAAGAAAACATGAACACAGTGTACATCTCCACCAGAGCTCTTGGGTGACCAGGTACATTATCAATGAGCAATAATATTTTGAAAAGAATTTTTTTTTCTCCTGAGCATTAAATTCTTAACTTTAAAAGAGAATATTTGTTTGCCAACTGTATCTTTGTTAGAGCCACAAATGTATAAAAGTAAAATCTAAAACAGCACAATAAACAAAACACGTTTTAGGTTGGTAGATTATTTTTCTGTATTTTTTAATTTCCTTAAATATTGTTGTCATATAATATTTAGAGAGGAAGGGAGAAGTAGAAAGAGAAACATCAATCAGCTACTTTCTGCATGCCCCACTGCTGGGGATGGAGCTTGGCAAACTGGACATGTACCCTGACCAGGAATCAAACCAGTGACCTCTTGGTGCATGGCTTGATGCTCAACCACTGAGCCACAATGACCAGGTGTATGCTTATTTCTTAATAACAAGATAATAAATAAAAATTTAGAGCAATAGCAAGTATACTTAGGATAATTTATAAGTTATCCTAATAAATTACCCCAACTTGATATACAAATAGCTAGAACATAGAAAGAATTTTTTTTTTATCACTATGGCATTCAGAAATTTCCATAAATAACAATAGTATGTATCTACATCAACTGAAACACCAGTTATTTTGTAGCTAAATTTCTGACAAGTCGATGACAAACATTGAAAAAAGTTAGGGAAGCCAGGCTTCAACTTTCTAGAAAAAGAAATTAAAACTCTAGCTATAAAAGATGCGAAATTACTTGAAACTCCACAGAAGCTATGCATACAATTTACAACAGGACTTTTGTTAAGGAATTTATTTGAATTTCATTAACTCCTCACAATATTGAGGTTGTATTATCATTTCCATTTCATTGATGAGATAATTGGTATTATATTAACTAGATAGTCCAAAAAATATTATAAGAATCAGGTCGCTAATTAATTACTTTGACTGTCTGCCAACTTATACTTCCAGCTACTGTTGATACAATTTGTTTCTTTCTCTTACCATTCATGTTAATACTATAGGGAACAAATTGTCCTGTGGGTATTTACAAAGACAGCCTAGTTTAATAACCTAGTTTTATTAGCTCTTAAGAACCAGATTTTTACATACTTAAGGGCTTAATGACTGTGTGTGTGTGTGTGTGTGTGTGTGTGTGTAATATAATTCCTTAATCTTTGGTTCTATGTTTATTATGGGTGGGGTTCTATCTTCTTCATCCTGTCTTCTGCTAATATTCTGCTTTGTTCTTGAGTACCCTGTTCTGTATCTCATTCAGTAAGCAACTAGTAAGAGATAGTACTAGAGCCAGATGTTAGGGAAAGTTTGATAAGGAATGCTTATTTATGTAGTTTCAAAGTACCTTCCTATAAAAACACATTAATTACAAAGAATAAAGGACTAACTTCCCAGTGCAAAACTCTCAGAAACCACCTTAACCAAATGACCAAGTCAACATCACTGGCTCCTTCAAGTTGACTGCCGTGTCCTGTTCATGTCCTTGCTTTTTGGCACAGTAAGCAGTGAGTAGTTTAATTTAACAAAGCAAATTAATAACAGTGATCAATTTGGTCAGAATACAAATGATTTCTTTTCTAACATATATTCTTCTATACTTTACAAACACTCTATAATGAATATGTGCTACTTTTAAAAAATATATATTTTATTTTTTTACAGAGAGGAAGGGAGAGAGATGGAGAGCTAGAAACATCAAAGAGAGAGAAACATCAGTCAGCTGCCTCATGCACACCCCCTATCAGAGATGTGTCCGCAACCAAGGTACATGCCCTTGAACGGGATCGAATCTGGAACCTTCCAGTCCGTAGGCCAACGCTCTATCCACTGAGCCAAACCAGTTTTGGCTACACTACTTTTAAAATAGAGGGAAGGCTGTGCAGGGGGCATGTGCAGGAGGCAACTGATTAATGGTTCTCTCTCATCGATGTTTCTAACTCTCTGTCCCTCTCTCTTCCTCTCTGTAAAAAAATCAATAAAATATATTTTTTAAAAAGATGCTCAATAAAAAAATAAATAAACAAAATAGAGGGAAGAATCAGTCTTAAGCTCATGTCATATGCCTGGGACTTTCTTTTCACCAATGCCTCCCGATGTTTCTTAACATTAATTCCAGAATGAATTCACTTTGCAACTCCTCCATGAAAGTACTTTCTTGCCGCTTTAGACTACAATGATTCTTTTTTTTTTTTTTTTTTTTTTTTTTTTTTTTTTAAATATATTTTTATTGATTTTTCACAGAGAAGAAGAGAGAGGGATAGAGAGTCAGAAACGTCAATGAGAGAGAATCATCGACCAGCTGCCTCTTGCACACCCCCTACTGGGGATGTGCCCGCAACCAAGGTACATGCCCCTGACCGGAATCGAACCCGGGACCCTTCAGTCCGCAGACCAACGCTCTACCACTGAGCCAAACCGGTGCCGGCTACAATGATTCTTATTACAGACAAGAGTTCATTCAACTGGCAGTTCCCAGACAGTTGTTCTCAGGACTCTTTTACTGATTACCTCAAAGAGCTTCAGAAAATTATGTCTAAAATTTTTAATTTATTTATTTGAAAATAAGAGTTAACCCATTTCATGGTAACATACACTTTATGTTAGAGACTGAGAGAGCAAATGAGGAAAGATGCTTGCTCCCAAGAATTTACTGAAGAGCTATATTCATAACTTAAGATGTTATTGAAAGCATTTGATAAACCAAATTAAAGAACTTTTTATAAACCGTGAGATGCATCTATTTCTCTTTGTCAGTCCTAATTATTTATTTAGCCCCATTACAATACAGTCTTAAGGTCCTTACAATTTCCTAGACACACCTGGTCTATATATCCTCACATCTTAATCTCAAACATTCCACATTCTTCCTCTCTGCAGAATTATAGCTCTTCTAGTCCTGGTAATTTTTCAGTTTTCTAGTTAATCTTAACCTGGCTTCCCACACCAACTATTTATACTTCCTCTAATATCTTATCTTCTCATCTTCACTTACATGTCATAATATATATATATATGCTTTATGAACTGTGTATCTAAATGTGTGTGTGGGGTGTATCTCAGTGGAAACTGTACAAATGAACTTACACACATATTTAGCTATAGCTAGCTAGAAATATAATCTCAGTAGAAAAAATAATTTAAATTATTCTGTTTTACAGTTTTTGACAGAAGGAAAGAATATGCACTTTAAAAATGTAAGAGACTCTTGAGATTATAGTTAAAAGGCATCATATTATAGAACAGGAAAAATAAGCCATGACAAATTCAGGGGGATAAAATTTAGATGAAATAAAATGTGGAAAAGCATACCTTTGGACCTGGTAACAGGAAAAATAATCTCTAAAATGTCTTTGAATGATGACAAGCAGGACCAAAACATAAGCCAAGTTTTCCTGATTTCTTAGCTGTCTTTATATACATAAAAATTATTTTAAAATTATATAAGAAAAAATCAATATGGATAATGTCTTTCACGGGGTTTAACTTCTCACATTCCCTGTTTTAGATTAGATTATGGGTTCAGGTCTGTACGAGAATTACTGGGTCGACACATAATCCTATTCATAAACAGCAGCCAGTGTAACAGTTGTTTCATTTTCTACTTTTCTCTTTCTCTCCAAGACTAATTAGCATTACACACAGTGTGTTCCTTGTTATAAATGTCTTCTTTCAATTTTGGAACTATAGTATCTTTTGATTACCCAAACTATGATGTAGTTTCTTCAGTTATGCAGAAGCCAGACACACTATTTGTAACACTGGAGACTAACTGCATAAAAAAGCAATTGTAGTAATATAGAAACAACTATATTATTCACAAATGGATGTGACATGTATACTATCTTCATTTTGTGAATCATCATCACTTTAAAGATAAACTGTAAACCTCTTATATACTTACTGCTGAAATGCTGCCATTGTATTCTCCAAATTTTCTCCAGCACCTGTAAAAACATTAAATGTAAACTTCATTTACCTGTATACTCTGCACATTTTATTTTTCTATAAATTCATTTTAATAAGATACATCTTTACAAATGTTTTAAAGAGTATAATGGTATCTTTAGTTTTTAGCTGCACCAGGAAGAATCGAAAATCAAAACACAGACACAACAACACAGAAGTGTGAGAGCATGTAAACATGATTTGTAAACTGTCATATCTGCGAGGAAAGACAGAACAGGACTTGGTACCTATACACCTCCCCAAGCAGAGTTAAACATCTCTCTTCTGTATTTACACAGTCTCTTATGCACCTCTCTGCCATGCATTTATCATATTATAGCGTAAGTTATTACCTATTTCTCTCCTTCCTTCCCTATGAGTTACTTAAGACAAGTGACTGTACTTTAATCACTTTGGCTGAAAGCAGGATACTATAGTAGTTGGGAATGGGACTCCAGAGTTCTGATCTTTGTTCTACAGTCTATTTGATGTTTGTGTCACTTTGGGAAAGTTACCCAATCTCTGTTAGACTGTGCTTTCTTACCTATAAGAATGAGAATAGCCGGGACCGATTTGGCTCACTGGTAGAGCGCCGGCCTGCGGACTGAAGGGTCCGGGTTTGATTCCGGTCAAGGGCATGTATCATGGTTGCGGGCACATCCCCAGTAGGGGGTGTGCAGGAAGCAGCTAATTGATGATTCTCTCTCATCGATGTTTCTAACTCTCTATCCCTCTCTCCTCCTCTCTGTGAAAAATCAATAAAATATATTAAAAAAAAAAAAAGAATGAGGATAATGGTTACTAGAGTTGTTGCATAATAGAAAACAGATAAAATATGGAGATTATAGTTGTTGTTTTTTTTTAAAGAAAGTGCTGTGTTGTTTTTTTTTTTGTTTGTTTTTTAGAAAGTGCTGTTTTGATGTTAAATGACTTTAAAACATCCAACTGGTGTCTGTTTTAAATAAAAAAAACTATGGAAATAGTTTCAGATAACCAATATTTCAAGAACAAAACACTCTAAAATATTACACAAAAAAACCAACACACCTAGAGTGCTAAAATGGTTATTAAGTAAACTAGTGACTGCTTATTGTCCCAAACAAACAAACAAAAAAACAACAACAAAAAACAAAACACCCCAAGGAAGTTAAAAGAATTCTGAAGCCAATTTGAAGGCATTCTCACCAGCCAAACCTGAAACGTTAGCATCAAATGAATGATATAGTAACAAATTTTAAACTACTGGATAAAATAGGAAATTCTCAGTCTATTTTAATTAATGGAAAGTTTGATGAGGAATGCTTATTTATATAATTTCAAAGTACCTCCCTACAAAAATGCTATTACAAAGAATAAAGGAGTAACTTCCCAGTGGAAAAGTCTTTCAGAAACCACTTTAACCAAATGACCAATGTCAACAACATTGGCTCCTTCAGGCTGACTGCCATGTCCTGTTCATGTCCTTGCTTTTTGGCACAATAAGCAGTGAGTAGTTTAATTTAACAAAGCAAATTAATAACAGTGATCAATTTGGTCAGAATACAAATGATTTCTTTTCTAACATGCATTCTTCTATACTTTACAATGAATATGCACTACTTTCAAAATAAAGGGAAGAATCAAAATCTTAAGCCATGTGCCTGAGACTTTCTCTTCCCCATTTTCTCCCAATGTTTCTTAACATTAATTCCAGAATGAAGTCACTTTGCAACTCCTCAGTGACAAAGTACTTTCTTGTCGCTTCAGACCACAATGATTCTTATTACAGACAAGAGTTCATTCAACTGGCAGTTTCCAGACACTTGTTTTCAGGACTCTTCTACTGATTACCTCAAAGAGCTTCAAAAATTGACTCCTTAAAATTTATTTATTTGAAAATAAGAGTTAACCCATTTCATGCTAACATATATTTTATGAAAAATAACTACCTTCCAAAAAATTTAATGGGAAGAATGTTTTACATTTTTGCTAATCTCTTTAATGTCTGGCTTAATAGAAGGCAGCTAGATTCTTCTATCTACTTGACATGTACCTGAATTCAACAAGGGAGTTTTATAAGTTCGTTGCAATGTGGAATCTGAACCACATAAATGTCCTTTTCACACTCTATTACATAGAAACCCACTGGTCCACTGTGAACTTTGAATGGATCTTTCACTCATTCATGGCTTTGTATCATCCAGTAATCTTTTGGAAAATACCAATTCACTGAATTATGCCAATCTTCTAAATACTGATACATATCATTATATAATATATATTTTAAAATCTCATTTGTTAACATCTGATCTTATTAGGAGAATCTTTGAGAATTGGAAAGCTATCAAGCTCACACTGGCATATGCAAGTTTTCAAAATTCTAATTTTTGCTTAAAAGTTCAAATTTAATCATTGGCACTACCTTTATAGAAGGCAGCTAGTATTTATTATTATTATTTTTTTTTTTTTTGCTAATGAGAGATATACTTTATTCATTTTCAAGAACATATCTGCTGAATATTCAAGTATCCATAACCAGCTGTCAGGTTTTTTGTTTTGTTTTTTTTAAGTAAAAATGGTGTTCTGTGGGGGAAAAAGGTAAATTCAGCTCACAAGCCAAATGACCATACAAGTGCTTTTTCTCAAGACAACCATCATCATAGTTTGGTATGCAGTAAAAGTGAATACCTCTAATTATGTCACACAGGCTATGTATAGTTGAAGGTTGAAATTTAATAACATTAATAATGTTTAATAATACATCAAATATATTCTTAAGTGAAACTGCTTTTTTTTCTTATTTATTGATTTTAGAGAAAGGAGAGTGAGATCAATTAGCTGTTCCACTTATTTATGCATTCATTGGTCAATAATTGTATGTGCTCTGACTGGGGATCAAACCAGAGACCTTCTGGTGCATGGGACAAATTACTTATTAGAATATGGGGAAAGCCTAAATTAAGAGTATGTCATTCCTCTCCAAAGAATTATTTGGTGTTAGCACTTCTCTCATGAAATTCCTTTTTTTTTTTTTTTTTTTTTTTTTTAAGGAATAGAGATACTTTCATTCCACCTTATTTTTTAAATTTTATTTTATGATTTTAGAGAGAGGAGAGAGAAACAGCCATCGGTTGCCTTCCACGAGCACCACAACCCACCCGGCATTGAAACAGCAATCTGGGTATGTGCCCTGACCAGGAATCGAAATGGCGATCTTTCAGTGCATAGGATGATGCTTAACAAACTTACCCACATTGGCCAGAGCCAAAAGCAATCTTTACCCTCAGACTTATCACCTGTTAAATCAATCTGTGGCAACATGCCCAGACTGTGACAGTACTCTTGCTTAATTGCAAGGGTGAAAAATTAGAAGGAAAGGTTAAGATTTGATCAGTTGATTCAGCTGGTGTGGCTCTGGTTAAATGTCACTGACCCATGCACCAAGAGGTCACTGGTTCCATTCCTGGTCAGGGTACATACCCAAGTTTCAGGCTTGATCCCCAATAGTGGGCATACAGGAGACAGCTGGTTGATGTTTATTTTTTTAAAATAATTTCTATTGATTTTTTTTTTTACAGAGAGGAAGGGAGAGGGATAGAGAGTTAGAAATATCGAATAGCTGCCTCCTGCACATTCCCTACTGGGTATGTGCCTGCAACCAAGGTATATGCCCTTGACTGGAACAGAACCTGGGACCCTTGAGTTCGCAGGCCAACTATCTGAACCAAACTGGTTAGGGCTGATGTTTCTTATTGATGTTTCTATCTCACTCGCCCATCTCCTTTCTCTCTCTTTCTCTAAATTAAAAAAAAAAATTAAAAAAAAATTTGATCAGTTGATTTTTGTTTAATATTTTAATTGAATTTTTACAGAGAGGAAGAGAGAGGGATAGAGAGTTAGAAACATTGATGAAAGAGAAGCATCGATCAGTTGCCCCCTGCACACCTCCCACTGGGAATGTGCCCACAACCAATGTACATGCCCTTGACCAGAATTGAACCTGGGACCCTACAGTACACAGGCCGACACTCTGTCCACCGAGCCAAACCAGTCAGGGCTGATCAGCTGATTTTTAAAAATTATTTGACAATTAATTCCTAGTAAGTAGACTTTCTTTTTAAAGGCTGTTGCTTAATTCATGGAGACAGATTGGCTCATGGAGACAGATTAGAGAGTATTAAAGTACATTATTTCCCTGCTATCCTATCTCTATCTGAAATATATATACCATATAATTCCAAATACAGGACAATATGTACTTAAAAGATATACTTCAAATGTCCAGATAGTAAAGTTTAGGAGTTATTTTTTCTCTTCTCAATTCCATATTTCCAAGTTTCCTATAATGAACATGAGTTACTTTTACAATTGGAAAAATAATAACAAAACCTATAATTTCATAAAGGAATTAAGAAAATGCCCCTTGATTATACTGCTTGCTCTCTATTTAATCCAAACGTTATATCTTTGGTTCTGTTGATATTTATTTCATCAATACATTGTAGTTATAAAATGTGCTCTTGGTCAAATAAATTTAAGAAACACATGGAAACTAACATGTAGTAGATAATTAGCAGACAATAAGCTATTATTTTAATTATATATTAGTATCAGTATTAAAGATTAGAGACAAAATTAATAAAATCTAAAACTTGGCCTAGTAACGGAAGCTGATGTATTAATATATCCTATTATAATATAATGCAATACAATGTATGCTTTAAAGAGGTAAGAGCAAAGCAAACCTATAGCATTTAATTTCCAAGACAGCCACTTTCAAGGTCAATGTTAAAAAAGGTGAAAGTGTTCATTAAAACTTTGAAAACATAAGTATAGGGTGATCTCAATCTTCTAATCAACTCAAAGTTCTATTGCAAAATGCAAATGTGGATTTCCTATATCCATGCTTATATTTTCAACTCTACAAACTTTCAAAGTGCTTTCTATGTACCTAGTCCTCTAACAACTCAAAGAGAAGCAAGCCTGTAAACTCAGGCTTACACCCAAGGCTAATTAGTGGTAGGTCTATTATCTGACTCAGGAAAATGCTTTTAAGGCAGACTTAATATACATTAAGAGTTACACATTAAGAGTTTCACGTTATAGCAATTCAGGTGTATATACTGTGTCTCGGTATGGTTATACACCTGGTTTATATGAAATATCAGGTATTTGTCTTTAGGGCAATTATAGTATTAGCTCAAATGTTAGTCATATGCACAGAGACTACTGATTGCTGTTATCAGTGTCCAAGAAAAAAAAAAAAAAGGCAAACAAGGAGACTCCTCCCCAGTCTATTATTTCCCAGAAATGTAGTATTTTTTTTTTAAGTAAATTTTATTGATTTTTTACAGAGAGGAATAGAGAGCCAGAAACATCGACGAGAGAGAAACATCTATCAGCTGCCTCCTGCACACCCCCTACTGGGAATGCGCCCCCAACCAAGGTACATGCTCTTGACCGGACTTGAACCCAGGACTCTTCAGTCCACAGGCCGATGCTCTATCTAGTGAGCCAAACCAGTTTTGGCCAGAAACGTAGTATCTTGAGTTACAGTGTGTGTGTGTGTGTGTGTGTGTTTAAAATAAATATTGCCTCTATCACTCTGGACTCAACTATATTATTTGGTGTAGATGCTCCACACAAAAGCATATGAAGCCACTAACACACTGAAACTCACTACAGTGTGTTAGCCCAGCATACAAGCAGAGTTAAACAGATTTTGAGCCTGCAGATATTTTAACGAGAGTATTTCTTCTAAAATAAAAATTTAGATCACCCCTACTGATAGAGAGCTTTTTAGAGGATCTAGTTTTGTTTTCGTCTGGGTTTTAAGCAAGCACACTTTTTGAAAATCAATAAACACAACTGCAGTGTGTACTGCCACCCCCAGAATAGGACCATCACCACTGAAAATTGCTTCTACAGCAACAACTTCAACACTAAAAGTTGGTTTGGGGCTTTAATGGTTGAAGGCGTATTAGCAGTTACATGTACATTTTATAGTTGAACTATGCATTTATTATTATTAAAACGCAGATAAATCAAATGAGAAACAACGTGCCGTTTGGCAGGTGACACCTGAAAACCTTTGATTCTTCTCAGGAGTGGGAGACTAACTATGGAAGTTAGTCTTTAATACTATGTGGAAGTGATAAAATTATACAGATGAATGCTAATGTATTTCTGTGACATTTAAACCCTTATTCCTACCCTAACTGGTTTGGCTCAGTGGCTACAGCCTCAACCTGTGGACTCAAGGGTCCCAGGGTCCATTCCAGTCAAGGGCATGTACCTTGGTTGCGGGCACATCCCCAGTAGGGGGTGTCCAGAAGGCAGCTGGTCGATGTTTCTAAGTCTCTCTGTCCCTCTCTCCCTTCCTCTCTGTAAAAAATCAATAAAACGTTAAAAAAAAAAAAACAATAACAAAAAACACCCCTTATTCCTGGCCAGTTTTTGTTAGAAAAGGAGTGATGGTACTAAATCAAGTTTTAGACTATAAATCTAGAAATGTACCATTTTAAGTATTAGACTACAAATTCCAAGCAATTTTAACCTAGTATCACATTCATTTCTAAAGAAGAGTTAACCCAATTTGACGACATTTTATACATCATATTTCAAATGAAACAGACACTTAATACTCAACAGTGAAGAGGCAAAGACTGGACCTGCCGAGACTGCTGCCTGGGAGATCAGAGGGCGGACCATCTAGCCTCCTTCTAGCAAGACATCTTTCCAAAACAAACTTTTGCTTTCTTTAAACAATACCATCCCGTCATAAGGAAATCACCTTTCCATCTTTTGGAAATCCACGTGTGGTGGCTGGGGTGTGGGTGCGGCTTTAAAACCCCACAGGTTTGCAGACCGGGCACCTGGGCGCTCCGGTGGCGGGCCCGGCCCGGGCGCCAGGGGCGCGGGAAGGGGCCCGGTGCCGTCTCACCCATCACCCCGCTCTGCGCGGAGTGGGGGCTGGGGGGTGGGGGGTGCTGGCCCGGTCTGAGGCCCCAGGGCGGGCGCACGCTCCGGTCCCCGCGGTTCCTCCGCCTGAACATGCGGCCCAGGATCTCCCCACGGGCTCCCCCCGCCCCCGGCCCCCCGGCCCCCCGGCCCCCGGGAGCGGCCGTTCCCGGCCTCCCCCCCGCCCCCCGGCCCCCGGTGCCCCGCGGCGGGACCCTCCGCGTCCGCTGAGAAACTCTCCGTCCGCCGTTCTCACCCGGCCCCGCCTCCTCCTGGGAACCCCGACACCGTTGCGCCCGAGAAATCCTCCCCTCGGCTTCGTCCCAGACCCCCTTCCTGCCCCCGGGAGACCCCCCCTCCTCATCGCCTTCGCCTCCGGGGCGCCCCCTCTTCACCGCCCCCCACCCCGTTCTTCCTCACACTGGGCGTATTGCCACCCGCCAGCCTTGGCGGAGCCCCGAAGGACCTGAGGGGAGGGGACACGACAGAAAGGCGCCCCGTTTCCGCCCCGGGCTCCGCGGACCCCTCACCTCCGCGGTGAGAGATGTGTTTGCTGAGGAACCGCTGCTTCTTCCTCTGGTGCAGCAAGGTCGGGTACTTGAGCAACAAGAAGGAGGTCACCAGGTACCCTCCCAGGGTGGAGAGGAGGTAGTACGCCGCGGTGGACATGTCGGCCGAGTGCGGGAGGCTGCGCCGCCAGGCCCTCTCAGCGCCGCTGCGGTGGCGGTCGCGCGGACGCGGCGGCGGCGGCGGCGGCGGCGGCGGCGGCTCCGGGCCAGCCCGCCCCCCGCCGGTGCCCGCGGCGCAGCGCACTTGTTCGCGCGCGCCCACCGCGCAGGCGCAGCCGCAGGCCCGGCAACAAAGGGCTGCGGCGCGCAGGCGCACTCCGCCCGCCCGGTGCGGGGTGGGCGCCGGCCGGGACCCGCGTGGTGGTCAGCGGCAGCGCCCCACCGCGGCGGGAGCTGGGAACCTGACCGTGCCTTCCGCAGCCCTCGGGCAGAGAGGGCCTGGCGTCGTTGGACAATCCACGTGAAAAGGCAATGATTCCACCGTGCGGCTTAGCCCCTGCACTGGGAAAGGCAAGGAACTGTCACCGATGGAGGATGAACGCTTGTTAAAACAATTAACGAACCCATCCATTTGTCTAAGCCGAGAGAGAGAGAGAGAGAGAGAGAGAGAGAGAGAGAGAGAGAGAACATTCCCTAGAGCAACATGTGCCCATGCCAGGTACCAATGTATTAGTCAAATATTTGAGGGACTGGCTCTTCTTTAATTTAGTATGGAAATACAATCCCCGTGCTTTTTACACGTTAGGCAGTCAAATATTTGTTGACTTAGGAGTCTATTTAAAATAAGGAAACGCTGACAAGGCCATAGTTTGTCACTCAGAAGTCTTAGGAAGACAGGAAACTGACTTCCAAAAGTCCCAACTAGTTCCCCTTTTGCCCCACAAATTCCAATCTCCAGTCCTCGTTTAAATGCAAAAGAATTGAGGAGGATCCAAGATGGCTGCTCGGGTAGACATCTAGCCGCGGCAGCACACAACAATTTCAATGGAATACAACTAAAATGTAGAGTGGACATTGCCCAGAGCTACAGGTAGTCGACTGACTGAAATTTCTACAACAAGAAGGAAAGAGAAAACCAGAAAGAAAATCAGAGGAGCTGAAAAAAAAAAAGCCTAAGGTACGGAGACATGCTGCGCGCGCCTGCCCGCCCGCACGTGCGCACGGAGAGGTCGCAGCCGGAGAGGAGGAGAGGGCGGGGAGCCGCCTTTCCTTCCCTAGCAGGAAGGAAATAAAACCCCCAGCCTGGGCTGAACCCCCCAACAGGCAGCGCTGAGCCCCCCCGAACCAGCAGCGCTGAGCCCCAGTTATGGGCCAGACCCTGGGGACCCAGGCTCCGGTGGGAGGAGACGGGGCTGTGAGGCGGAAAAACGGCGAAAGGCAGGGCCCCGGGAGTCGCGCGCAATGCGCGCAGAGGACTGAATGTTGACTCTGATGCTGGGTTGCCCTAGCCGGAAGAAACAAGGCCTCCGGCGGCGCTGAGCCTCAGTCCGGACTGCTCCGAACCCCAGTTCTGGGCCAATCCCTGGGGACCCAGGCTCAGGCAGAGGGAGACGGGGCTGTGAGGTGGAGTCCGGGAAGAGCGGCGAAAGGCCGGGCCCCCGGGACTCTCGCAAACTGCACGCAGAGGACAGTCTGTGGGACTCGCGCAAACTCTGCGCAGAGGACAGTCTGTGGGACTCACGCAAACTCCTCGCAGAGGACAGTCTGTTGACTCTGATGCTGGACTTCCCTAGCGGGAAGGAGAAAAAAAAAGCTCTAGGCTGGGGGAACGCGGAGGGGAGCGGAAGCCCCTGCCGGACTCCAGCCAACCGGGCACCAGCAAGGAGGCGGGCCACGGGGCCCCTGGGGGCGTGGGTGCCCCTGAGCCTTTGACCACTGAGCTCGGGCAATGGAGCCAAGGCCGGGGGCTGCTTCCTGGGCGGCGCCGTCCCGGCAACAGGCTGAAGCAGCACAGGAGCCCGCGGAGAACAAAGGGGTGCCACAGGCCAACCTGCTGAGCTCCCAGGACAAGGAGGAAGAAACCAAAGAAGTTCTCAATGTGAAGAAATCAAGTGAGAGCAAAAAATAGTAAAATTACTTAAGAAAGAATACAAAGAAGATCTTGAAAAATCAAAGACTAAGTCAGAACTCAACTCACCAGCCAACATTGCAACATAAATGCGTTTTAAAAAGAAAAAAAAAGGACAGAATGTTGGAACAGCGACGGCCAGGCCTAGAGTGGCCAGGCACAAGGCAGTGGCAGCCAGACCCGGAGCAGCAACGGCCAGGCCCCAGAACAACAGCAGCCAGAACCAGAGCATCAACAGCCAGCACTGGAGTAGCCAGACCTGGGGCAGTGGCAGCCAGGCATGAGGCGGAGGCGGCCAAGCCCAGGGTGGCCAGTCCAGGAACACCCAGACCCGGAGTGGCCGGGCCCGAAGAAGCCGGGCCCAGAGCAGCCGGGGTGGGAGCAGCCAGACCCAGAACAGCAGTAGCCAAGCCCAGAGCATCCAGGTCGGGAGTGGCCAGGCTCGGAGCGGCCGGGCCCGGGGCAGCCGGGCCCAGAGCAGCCGGGCCCAGAGCAGCCGGGTCAGGTGCGGCCAGGCCCGGAGCAGCAGCTGCCAGGCTGGGAGCGGCCAGGCCCGGGGGAGCAGGCGGGTCGGGTGCGGCCAGGCCCAGAGCAGCGGCTGCCAGGCTGGGAGCGGCCAGGCCCGGGGGAGCAGGCGGGGCTGGTGCGGCCAGGCCCGGAGCAGCGGCTGCCAGGCTGGGAGCGGCCAGGCCCGGGGGAGCAGGCGGGTCGGGTGCGGCCAGGCCCGGAGCAGCGGCTGGCAGGCTGGGAGCGGCCAGGCCCGGGGGAGCAGGCGGGTCGGGTGCGGCCAGGCCCGGAGCAGCGGCTGCCAGGCTGGGAGCGGCCAGGCCCGGGGGAGCAGGCGGGGCTGGTGCGGCCAGGCCCGGAGCAGCGGCTGCCAGGCTGGGAGCGGCCAGGCCCGGGGGAGCAGGCGGGGCTGGTGCGGCCAGGCCCGGAGCAGCGGCTGCCAGGCTGGGAGCGGCCAGGCCCGGGGGAGCAGGCGGGGCTGGTGCGGCCAGGCCCGGAGCAGCGGCTGGCAGGCTGGGAGCGGCCAGGCCCGGGGGAGCAGGCGGGGCTGGTGCGGCCAGGCCCGGAGCAGCGGCTGCCAGGCTGGGAGCGGCCAGGCCCGGGGGAGCATGCGGGGCTGGTGCGGCCAGGCCCGGAGCAGCGGCTGCCAGGCTGGGAGCGGCCAGGCCCGGGGGAGCAGGCGGGTCGGGTGCGGCCAGGCCCGGAGCAGCGGCTGCCAGGCTGGGAGCGGCCAGGCCAGGGGGAGCAGGCGGGGCTGGTGCGGCCAGGCCCGGAGCAGCGGCTGCCAGGCTGGGAGCGGCCAGGCCCGGGGGAGCAGGCGGGTCGGGTGCGGCCAGGCCCGGAGCAGCGGCTGGCAGGCTGGGAGCGACCAGGCCCGGGGGAGCAGGCGGGTCGGGTGCGGCCAGGCCCGGAGCAGCGGCTGCCAGGCTGGGAGCGGCCAGGCCCGGGGGAGCAGGCGGGTCGGGTGCGGCCAGGCCCGGAGCAGCGGCTGCCAGGCTGGGAGCGGCCAGGCCCGGGGGAGCAGGCGGGGCTGGTGCGGCCAGGCCCGGAGCAGCGGCTGCCAGGCTGGGAGCGGCCAGGCCCGGGGGAGCAGGCGGGGCTGGTGCGGCCAGGCCCGGAGCAGCGGCTGCCAGGCTGGGAGCGGCCAGGCCCGGGGGAGCAGGCGGGGCTGGTGCGGCCAGGCCCGGAGCAGCGGCTGCCAGGCTGGGAGCGGCCAGGCCCGGGGGAGCAGGCGGGGCTGGTGCGGCCAGGCCCGGAGCAGCGGCTGCCAGGCTGGGAGCGGCCAGGCCCGGGGGAGCAGGCGGGGCTGGTGCGGCCAGGCCCGGAGCAGCGGCTGCCAGGCTGGGAGCGGCCAGGCCCGGGGGAGCAGGCGGGGCTGGTGCGGCCAGGCCCGGAGCAGCGGCTGCCAGGCTGGGAGCGGCCAGGCCCGGGGGAGCAGGCGGGGCTGGTGCGGCCAGGCCCGGAGCAGCGGCTGCCAGGCTGGGAGCGGCCAGGCCCGGGGGAGCAGGCGGGGCTGGTGCGGCCAGGCCCGGAGCAGCGGCTGCCAGGCTGGGAGCGGCCAGGCCCGGGGGAGCAGGCGGGGCTGGTGCGGCCAGGCCCGGAGCAGCGGCTGCCAGGCTGGGAGCGGCCAGGCCCGGGGGAGCAGGCGGGGCTGGTGCGGCCAGGCCCGGAGCAGCGGCTGCCAGGCTGGGAGCGGCCAGGCCCGGGGGAGCAGGCGGGGCTGGTGCGGCCAGGCCCGGAGCAGCGGCTGCCAGGCTGGGAGCGGCCAGGCCCGGGGGAGCAGGCGGGGCTGGTGCGGCCAGGCCCGGAGCAGCGGCTGCCAGGCTGGGAGCGGCCAGGCCCGGGGGAGCAGGCGGGGCTGGTGCGGCCAGGCCCGGAGCAGCGGCTGCCAGGCTGGGAGCGGCCAGGCCCGGGGGAGCAGGCGGGGCTGGTGCGGCCAGGCCCGGAGCAGCGGCTGCCAGGCTGGGAGCGGCCAGGCCCGGGGGAGCAGGCGGGGCTGGTGCGGCCAGGCCCGGAGCAGCGGCTGCCAGGCTGGGAGCGGCCAGGCCCGGGGGAGCAGGCGGGGCTGGTGCGGCCAGGCCCGGAGCAGCGGCTGCCAGGCTGGGAGCGGCCAGGCCCGGGGGAGCAGGCGGGTCGGGTGCGGCCAGGCCCGGAGCAGCGGCTGCCAGGCTGGGAGCGGCCAGGCCCGGAGCAGCAGCAGCCAAGTCCAGAGCAACTAGGTCGGGAGCGGCAGTGACCAGACCCGGAGCAGCTGGTTGTGGAATGAACCAGAGCAACAGAGGCCAGGCCCTGAGCAGCCAGGCCCAGAACAGCTCGCTCCTTGCCTGCCCCTGCCCCACGGCTGCTTCTCAGACATGGCTGGAAACTTTCGTGGGAACTTGAGTGTCTGCTGAATCAAGTGATGAAGGCTTAGATCTGGATGTGTTGAGTTAGTTTAGGACTGGGGTGTTGATCTGTGAGTGCCTTGGGTGGGGCCTCGATGAGGCTGGTTGACCTAGTGGGAAATGTCTTTTGTGTGAAGTGTA